GATAGGGTGAGCTACATCTACCCGAATGTCAATGCAGCAGGCGCCGGCCTATTTCTATCCGAAACATTCACCGCTCCAAGCCTCAATCTCTCAGAAGGCGGATACAACATGTACGCCTGTCAAATGTCCAACTCTGATGCTCACTTGATTTTACGAAAATTAAAAAAAACTTATTGTTTTGTTATCTTCTTTTTAATGAAACAGGTACGATGAGATGATCGATTGGCTAGGACGGCCTGCACGTAACGTGCCGAGACAACCCGTACCGCCCCTTAAAGTGTCGATATCGAAGAAGCTTAGAGAATACGTCGAGGCGAAGTATAAGAAGGCAGGAGCAGAAAAAGGGGAGTACGTCGTGATCCATGGTATTGAATCTGATTCCGTTGCTAACATGCGGTCTAAGGGGGATACGGACAGCTTGTTGCCTATTCGGGTGTGGGCTGAAATAGCAGAGGAGTTGAGGTAAGTAAAGCCAAATAGGAAACATATATCGGTCGGTCGCGTAGTTTTCCAGCATGACATTGAACAAATATAAGTTCGGCGTCGCATGAAAGTTTGTGCTTTGTGGGTAAACAGGGGAGTGAAGCCTGTGTTTGTGATCCCACATGAGAAAGAGAGAGAAGACGTCGAGGAAGCAGTAGGAGAGGATTCCACCGTTCTATTCATCTCAACGCCAGGCCAGGTCTAAATATCATATGCTAGCTTAAATTTTACTCCGTAAAACATATTTTATGGACACTTAACAGCAACCTATTCCTCCCCTTGTTCTCCTTGAACTCCCATATCATCAGCTCGCTGCGCTCATCGACGATTCAGCTGGGGTGATCGCCACGAACACAGCAGCGCTGCAGCTCGCAAACGCTCGTGGGAAGCAGAGGTAGAGCGTTTTATCGTTATTTGGGTTGAATTCGTGATTGAATGAATACGTACGTCTTTAATTGCTTCTTGTTGGGTTGATTTTTGCAGCGTCGCATTGTTTTCTTCTGAGGTGAAGGGGAGGCTGTTTGTTCCCAGTGCAGAAGATAAGAGATGCGTAGTTGTTTCGTCAAAGACGGGGAAGTTGATAGATATCGACGTTGGAGAGGTGAAGAATGCAGTGGGAGTTCTAAGTAGGTCTCCGGTTCCAGCTTAGAGAGGTCATCACAGTTTAGTTATCTTTCGAGTTTTTCTTGTAGATATTCTTCAAGAACATAGTTGTTCCCATCGCAGGTGCAGAGGGGAACTTTCTTCACAATCAGCTTTTGGTTGATGTCACGTCCTTTTTTATGCCATATACCTTTTTCGTGCAGATCAGATGAACAACGCTCAAAATTAAACAAAACTAGCAGATTTGCAACTCTCAAGCCAAGAGACTGGGAGAGTAATTTAGAAGAGAAACAAAAGCTCATACGGAAATAAACAACATATAGAACTAAAAACATAAGTGCACGCGAATATCACCATCATAGTTAATTAACCATATAGAGACCATGCACAATATGCTTCTGGTTCTAAGTAACACCTCATAGTTAATTAACTGAAAAAGGAAAGCCAATCTAAAAGTGCTAGCATAAAATAGTCACGTCCATCTGATTGCAACAAAGACCAGCACAAACAAAATGCAATTTTGCGTCTCAACCGCCACTTCCAAGTCTGCTGCTGATGCCCAGCAACTACAAAACTAGTGGACTTGTCTTGCCACCCCTGTTCAACCATGCTTGGCTTTTGTATGAGATTCAAGAGCAGTGTCAGAATTGAAAGTCCTGGGCATAAACAAACAGTGCTATATTTAGAAACTCGGCTACCATAGAATCCAATACTCGAGGAATAAAGGGGGCATTGTAAATGAAAATACTCTCGAGAATGAAACATCAAAAGTAGTAGTACATAAAATATTTGGTGTGGACAACGGGATACCTGCTGCATGACTTGCAAGTGACAGAACCAGCTGACTTAGGAGACTTCTGCTTTGACTTGTCACTGTTTCCAGGTGTCTTCCCAGCTTGCTTGGCAGGATGAGGAGTTGCAATGTGCACATTCTTCTTTCCATCACCACCTGCATACAAGTGAGCAGAGAGCTAAGGATCAATTTGGTCACAAGGAAATGCAAATCGAGTACTTTTAATCTCTTGTTTTGGTCCGCCATCTCAATAGAAAGGAATCAAGGTTCAGAGCTCGATACGTGGTTGAATTTCATCTTTAGCAAGTATTTCTAAACCTAAACTCCAGTTGTCCATTTACTGAGGGTTGGAACTCAACAAATTCACTCTCAGAAATCAAATACAATAATCATGTTGGTTGCACCAAAGAAAAATCTAATAACATCCAACAAGAAAATTATAGTTCATAGGATTTAATCCCCTCAGTCAAAAAGTTTAAATCACAATCAACTGATTCTTAATTTCACAAACTGAAACCAACTGTAAAATTCTAACCTACTCAAAATGGGGGTCCAATTAGTGCACTAAAGGGTGATGAAAGGAAAAATATTCCAAAACTTCTAAAAAATTAAAAGACAAACAAACCTGATTTCTGTCCTTTAGCTGGGGTAACAACTTTAGCCTTCTTCTCCGGAACAGGAGTCTTGGAAGCAGATTCAGCAGGTCGCTTGCCAGTTGTAGCCTACAGTAAGGACACAAAACTGAGAAAATTGTCCATAAACAGAGCCAGAGATCTTACAAATGCATTAGATCATCCTCTTACCTTCTTAGGAGTAGCCTCATCTTCCTCTTCGGAGCTCTCATCCTCATCTGTATCATCTTCATCATCACTGTCGCTCATTGCTGCTGTCAGATCCTGTTTGGGGATTTAATTCAAAGTTTATTCAAATTGTCATATTAGGGCATGGAGGATAACACATAACGCATGGAAGATAATACTTGTTAAGGCGATCAAACAATGGGCCACTAGGATTTGATTCCTTAAAATTAAACAGCACTTGCAATACCCTTAAAGAAAACTCTTGCATTAAGTTGAATAAACTAGGACCACTTTTGACCTTAAAAGTCCTATGATTAGTGATGTCCAAACTCAAATTTACTGTTTCCAAAAGGATACTGGGAAAGTATTGTAGGGAATGAAACTTCCTCACAAGGTAAAAGCATCGGTCTACTCTGACATGGAATCACAAAATCTGTAGCATTCAAATATTATAATTACTATATACACTGCCACGTACCATTCAGCATCATTCCTCTAGTAACTCTATTTATCGTGGATACAATGCGACATGTCCCCAAAAAACCAGCATAAATAGCAAGCAAAATTCATACTTATTACATGCAGTTTACCATCTTAAAGTCTTCGTCCTTGGAATAGCAGTAGACTCCACAACATGACAATCTTGTAGTTACAATATGCAATTTGTATCCTTGTTAAAATCATTTATTTGTTAATCATCTTCATAGTAGCTATATTTCTCACAAATTGAATATAATAAAATCCAAAATAACAAAATCAAGGTAAAATGAAAAATGAAATTCCTTTACACGCACCTCGTCATCATCAGATTCTTCGTCAGAATCATCCTCATCATCATCATCATCGTCCTCATCTTCATCCTCTACCTTTGGCTTATCGACTTTAGCCGGTTCAGCTTTTTTTGCCTTTTTAGCAACTGAATTGTCCTCTTTGACTGCATTGGCCTTTCCTGCACCATATTTTCCTTGTTCTTGCTTGACCACAGGTTTGCCTATCAAAGAAATTTAGAAGTGAATCAAACATATGACAAAATCAAAACATGGTATAAGGGTAACAGAGGCTAAGATTAACCAGAACTCACATGTTTATAATAGAAAGAAAGATAGCAATACAATAATAATCCACAGGAAATTGCATTAAAGTGGAGCAAGGCCTCAAAGTCATATAAAATACTGAGAGGTAAACATTACACATTATGATGATAAATTTGGTAGCATTTAACAAGCAATAAAAATCACTATAATTAGCATAATAATAGAAAAGGGTATAAAACTGAACAAAGATGCTAAGTAAGATCCAACAAATACTAGATTAGAGAAGTGTCCCTTATGCCACTTATAGTTGATGCATGCCTTATCAAAAACTTCTCATGAGGATACTGATAGTATCACTATGTTAAAACCAGTAATAGGGTTCAAGACTGAGCCAAAAGCAATTGAGAGCACAAAATATTGGTTACGAAGGTGAATATTCAAGTTTCTAACATAGAATAAAACTGGTTACCAAGTTGAATATTCAATTTTCTAATTTCGGATAAACTCTACCTAGATGGAGCCACTAGAACCATAAACTGTTTTAGTAACCATGAGTTATGTACATATAACTGCATTGATCTCTACACCATCCTACAATGCAAGAGAATATCCTGACGGTATTGAATGATTTCACAAAAACAATATTTAAAGAAAGATACAGCTGTGTTTTTATTAGAACTAGAAAGTACCAAAAGGTTTTGAAAGTGATGAATAAACAAGTTTCACTCAGGCGTGATCATATATTATGTCAAGAAAAACAAACCTAACTAACCATTTTTCACAAGGTTCTTGTTGTTGTATTATTAATAAAGAATTTCAATTTAATTCTTAAGAATGAATCTATAAGAATGCATATTGTCAAAAGTTTCATTGTTATTTCTTTATAACCAAAGCACATGGCAGTTGTGCTAGCTGTGAAGAGCAGGGAATGTTTAACAAAAGTTGCTGCTCAAGAATCAAATAGGCACAGAATACCAAAACTACTAAAGCTCGGTTACATCTTCATGGAGCAAATTTCACACTATGGCACTTCACATGGCGTAATTGAATAAAACTTTCATAACTTGCCTTGAAAATCAGACTGTTCAAAGAGTAATGACATAACCGAAGCAATACAAGATTTTATATAAAAAATCCTAGTCCAGAACAATAGTCTCACAAATCAAGGTTCACGAGATGCTTCGTTCAAAATAAATTTGGAATTAACATTCATTGGATAGTGCAGAGATGTCTATGTTAATGAAAGTGACCTAATAGTCAACAGAAAACACAGTTAAAGGGTCAGAATACAAATTGCACATAGCCCGTAATCACACTGTGTATAAAATTAATACTAAAAGCATAAGGTACCATTTGCATTTTGAACAACAGGAACTTCTTCCTCGTCCGATTCCCCCTCTAGAAAGCCAAGAGAAATATGATGAGAGACATGAAAAGAAAAGTATAAAGGTATATATATATATATATATATATATATATATATATATATGTAGAGAGAGAGTTAGAGTTAAAATACTCACCAGAAAATTCTTCATTGTCGGATGTGGAACAGAGACAGAAACAGTCAAGGAAATACAATTTAAAATTTAAGAAATTAACATTGTATACTAAGGATGCAGAAAGCAAATAAAGGACATGATAAAAGGATATTCCTCAGGCAGAGCACTTTTATAACCGCAAAAATGGACACTGGTATTCTTTGAAGTGTGAGATAACTCAAAATCTTTATCGAAAACTAAATCAAACTGTAACTGGGCACATTTCTCCGCAGAGAGAGTTCCAATAACAAACTTCTTATCATTAACCTTCACATGGACAGTCACATTTTCTTTGCCCTTTAATTCTCCAAGGGAAGCCTGCATGAGACAGATGGAAGTTAAGAAATGCGAGGCCATTTGACTAGTCAAAGACAAATCAAGAGTGGGTTTCACCTGTGAGAGGTGCAGAAGCTTATCTTCTTCAGCATCGTACTTAACACTCTCGCCAGACTTGACTTCAGCACCTGGAAATAGTAGCTAACAAGTTAGGAAAAATAGATGCATCGAATGCACTTCGGCGTCCAAAACCGGTTAACAAAGTACACTAGGCTAAATTTGCTTTCAGACAAAGCTTTTTTTTTTAACGTAAGAACAACAACAGCAAGCACTGGTGGATTAGAACAATGTGAAGGTTTACGAAAATAGCCAGCTACCCAACTACCCACGAGCACGTTGACCATCTATTACATGCTTCTTGCAACCACTGGTGGATTCTATCAGATGTTAAGCTCTGGAAACAGCTTTAACTTGTTTGATGGCACGATTTAGTGTCTAAACGTACGACCAAAAGACAGTACGGGGTACGGTCAACATATTCGATTAAACATCAACATAAAGTCTGCCTTTGCAAGTAACCAAGACACAATAGCCTGAATTAGTTATTTTCGGAATACATAAGAGGTTTTAACAAATCAAATTGCATTAGGCAGGGCCAAATGCCATCTAATCTCGGCAGCCGCGCCGCCACAAAATCGTAAACCCTAAGTTTGAGGAAAGAAGCCCATTCAAGCACCGAAAGAATCAACAAGATCTACAAATGTAAAATCTGAAACCCAAGCCCTAGTTTGGGGACAAGCAGTAGCATCAACAAAAGGTTTAAGAAATCTGTGGGCTAATGAGATATAACCTAAAACCCTAGCAATCATTCGATTCGATCATCAAACAAGCGATCGATGGGAACAAAATCGAAACATGGACGGAGAGGGAGAGAGAGAGAGAGGAAATTACCCCAGAATTCCATCGCTGAATCCGATCGAGACGAGGAGAAATGATCGGAGGAGCGAGCGAGGATGAGAGCGGCGTCGTTAGGGTTTTAGAGCTAGACCTCGAATGGGTTGGGGGGTTTAATAGCGGAGGTCCGTAATTGGGTTGGGCCGGGTTACTTCTGACCCGGTCCGTTTGAATCTGGCCTCGCCACAAATAACTTTGATTTGGTTTCCCAACTGCGCCACGTGCAAGTCTAGCGTGCATCTTTATTATATGATTGGGGGATTACTATGCTCTGTTGTGTTGTGTTGTACGGATTGAGATCCTCTACTAATGAGGAGCTTTCTAATATCTCCTAATAGAATCTTAGCCTTTCATTTATCAATCAAAAGCCAAGATCTCATCATGAGCAAAAGTAGGGGGTCCCCCTGCTTTTGTTCATGAGGAGATCTTGGCCTTTGATTGATAAATCAAAGGCAAAAATCTCTTTATTAGGAGATATTAGTAGAGGATCCATTAGTAGAGGATCACAATCCGTGTTGTACTATACTAGGTTTTATGCGCTATTATGATTAAGTATTTTTAATTTTTTTTTACTAAACTTTATTACTCGATTTCATTTTGATAGTTTTTTAGGTTATATTTCTAATCTTATATGTGGATGATATTCTACATGCAAGCAGCGATTTAGGTTTGTTACATGAAACAAAACAATTCCTCTCTAAAAACTTTAAAATGAAAGATTTAGGTGAAGCTTCTTATGTCATTGACGTAGAAATTCACAAAGATAGATCTAAAAGAACTTTAGGACTATCTCAAAGGGTCTACATTGAAAAGGTATTAGAGAGATTCAGAATAAAATATTGTGCGTCCATGTCAGCACCTATCATCAAAGGGGATAAACTCAGTCAAGATCATTGTCCACAAAATGAACTAGAAAAGGAACATATGAAGAGCATAAGGTATGCATCTGCCGTGGGTAGCTTGATGTATGCACAAGTTTGCACACGACCTGACATCAGATTTGTAGTAGGATTTTTACGTAGATGTCAGAGTAATCCTGGTATGGAACATTGGAGGGCTGCTAAAAGAGTCATGAGATATCTGAAGGGAGCCAAGGATTGCAGACTGACTTACAATCATACTGATCATTTCGAGATGGTCGGTTATTCAAATTCAAACTTTGCTGGATGCATAGAACAAGAAAATCTACTTCAGGATATGTCTTCCTTCTTGCGGGAGGGGCTATATCTTGCAGGAGTATTAAGCAAACAATTGTTGCTTAATCTACCATGGAGGCAGAGTTTATTACGTGCTATGAAGCCCTACACAGGCATTATGATTGAGAAACTTTATCTCAGGTCTCAAAGTTGTCGATTCTATTGTGAGGCTTATGACGATCTATTATGATAATTTAACAGTTGTTCTATTCTCCAAAAATAATAAAAGTGAAAAGCTAAAACAAGCATATCGACGTAAAGTATCTTAGTGTTAGAGAGAATGTGAAACAAAGTATTGTGTCTTAGTGTTAGAGAGAATGTGAAACAAAACATTGTGTCTATTCAACACATTAATACCGAGCTTATGATTGCAGATCCAATGACTAAAGTATTGCCCGCAAAAGAGTTCCTAAGTCATATGGAACATATGTGATTGTTTTAGCTCGTTATGTGTTTGTTTTTCTCTCTAGTTGTTTTTAGACATGTTCTGACTATTCTTGGGGAATAAAATTTGATTTTATTGTGCACAAATAAAGTTTTTATATTTAAATTGTATCCATTAGGATAATTAAAGTAAGATCTGAGTGAGTCGTAGGAAGTTATTCATAGAGTTTGCTTATAAAGTTGTTCACTTGATGAATTTATGCATCGTGATACATGGAAGGAAGATCTCATTATTACTAAGAGCTTGACCGCTATGATTTGTGCATTAGATTCTTTATTTCTCTTATTTCTTGAAGTTTTTGTTTGAATTATTGTTGGATCGATCATTGTTCTGTCAACCCTGAGTGAGATGATATATCGTTTGATCATATCCATTATAGTAGTGGAGTTTTAGGCGTGCTCTCGTAATTTTTGAACCGTATAAGGTTGTAAAGATATTTGTTAACTGCACCCAATCACCGACCTCTTAAAGCTTGAACTTCCTGATGTTGAGATGAGCAACGTCCTCCTCTTGGTGATCTTTCTTATGTTGACTCGATGCCATCATGTTGTACCCGTGAAATTAATTTTTCTATCGATCGCATCGCGAGTTGCTAACCGTGGCATCATAAGTGAGCGAGCTAGGTCGTTACCGCTTGATCTTTGATTACTTCGATCATTCATTGAATAGCCTTTCACCTTTTGATTTTTTTGCTTTTAAGTTTATTTTTCAATGGAGTTTGTGGGTGTCGGGGTTAGCTTAATTGTTGCTAAATGGATGGAAACTGGTTAGTTTTTGATGTCCAGTGAGATTGTGTAGACCGATCTAATGATGATTTATATGTAGATAGCCAGGTGCTTTTGACCTAATGACGATGCATCCATGTACATTGCTGAGAACCTCTCCCCTTGTTACGGTCAGAAAAAGTGTGCAAATTTGGGACCCCTGATACTGTTGACAGGATCAAGGAGCGGGTTGAGGAGAAGGAAGGGATTCCACCTGTGCAACAGAGGTATTCTTCATTTTAAAAAAAATACAGTTCTTGTTCTCTCATTATAGTTCTGTGTACGTTCATCTTTAGTTATGAATCTTAACCTCTGACTTTCTCCTCTTGCTTGTAACTGAACACCAGTCAGCCGATCCAGTCTAATTTACTGTTTTTCATAATACTGATCATGTAGAAGAAGAGGAGAACAATAAATCAGTCTGGATTTCCACAGTACTCTGCTGTTGGGGTTTTAGGGTTTCTTCGGGTATTTGGCTAGGGTTGAATGTTGTGGATTCTTTTAGAGGGATCGATAAAAAGAAGGATAATGAAAGGAAATAGTATTTTGATAGATAATAGCTAGGCCTCAAACCTAGGGGCCTCACACCTAAAGGGCTTCACACCCTAAAGACACTTCACATGCCAACAAGCAATTCACGTGCTCAAAATCATTACTTAATTTTTTATTAATCATTTTCTAATCCCCCATGAAGGATGACAACCTTACTTATAGAGGGAAAAAACTAAATACGGAAAGGAAATTAAAATCCTAACCAAATCCTAATAAAAAGGAAATAACTCTAAAAAAAATAAGTCTCGAAGATCATAAAAATCCTAAATCAAATCCTAAGGAGATCTTTACCTAAATTTGGAGATTACATCAAATATTACTAAAATAAAAAAAGGTTCTAGTAAATTATAAAATTCAGGATCAACGGTTGAGGATAGTCTTGCATCATTTTAGGTTTCCATTGGGCTGGGAAACTTTAAAAATATTGGGGTACCTTTAAGTTTTTACTTCATTTGCATGTAGGTTTTTGTTGATACACACTTTTCTGACTTGTTTTATAGATAAGCTCTCCAAAATCTCACAAATTGTTTTCTGGAGAAGTCGTTGCATTCCTATATGTTTTAACAAATTCGAAAGAGGTTGCATTCTAGTTTATTATGTTAAAAAGATCGCATATATTATGTTTCCGCTTAAATGCTTATAATCTATGAAAGTATGAGCTATTTTGCTAAACCTATGATTTCATATGTTTCATGATTTTTAACCCAAAATAAAATAAAAATAAACATTAAAAAAACGCACTTGTGGTTCTATAAGCTATTATCTAGTTGAAAGCAAGCTTTTATAACATCGGTGAAGTTTTACTACCTTTGATTTTATAGTTCTCGTTGTTCGGAAACCATTTCGCTAATCGGATCCACCTTTCACTTCAACTTTTTTTATTTGACTTCAACTTATTTATTTTTTGGTTTGCTAGACATAACATATTTTGTCATTTAGTTACTTGCACTACGCTTATCTATAGCCAATCTTGTTATGTCTTGTTCTTTTTTTAGCATTGAGACTATATTGTCTGTCTGTAGGCATTAAAGCTGCCATGATACATCAAAACTAAGATAGGAGTATACCAATCTTAGTCTATACTCATCATTACTTATAGTTTGAGATCTCTCGCTGGGGAAGAATTCTTTTACTACCTTTCGACTTTGTTTGATAAAGCATGCATCCGCAACCAGCCAACCTATCTTATTTAACTTTGAGCTTTGGTGCTAATATGGGCTCTGCTCTTGTTTGAAATGGATGATGCCAAACTCTTTGGCAGTCAGTTATGATTAATGTGCTTAAAATATGCCTTGCAGTTTACTAAATCGCATTCTAGCTGCTTGTTCTGATTTCTGTCAATGTGTTTTTCCAGGCTTATTTATGCAGGCAAGCAGCTGGCAGGTGACAAGACCGTCAACGAATACAACATCGAGGGCGGTTCTGTCCTTCACCTTGTGCTTTTGCTCTCAGGGGTGGCCGCTAATGACTGGATTGGGATCCTCTACTAATGAGGAGGTTCCTAATATCTCCTAATGGGATCATGGCCTTTGATTTATCATGAGCAAAAGTAGGGGGAGGATAAGGATGAGATCTTGGCATTCGATTGATAAATCAAAGGCTAAGATCTCTTTATTAGGAGATATTAGGAACACTATGCATTAGTAGATGATCCCAATATCTAATGACTGCTTACAGTGTCCACGTACGAAAACTATCTGCTTCAGAGAAACCATCCTGGTCATATTTACTTCAGAGAAACCATTCCAGTGGGTCCCACCCCCCTCTCCTGCGCGAGTTGAGGCGCGCGCTAAGGCGCGTGCCAAAAAGCAGGGTTCTTGCTAAAGGGGGAACTGGTCTTTTGGGTTCAATGTTGTCTGTGGTGGCCATGACTTCTTTAGCTAATTTTCTTTAATGTTTGATAAAAAGGCCCTTGGATCTTTAAACAACTTGCTTTAAAATTTGTCGCGTGAAACTACATAAATAGTCGAGATGAAGATGCTAACTTGCGACCTCTCCAAGCGTTTAAATAAAATAATATTACACGCAAACTCTAGAAGAAACTCGCCCATTTTCCTATGCGCTCGTTAGCATCGCGAACTAGCTATAGAATCTTGATTTTCAAGCTACCATATATATACTTGTTGACCCAAAATTGATTTTAATATTTCCTCGGAAATTGATTAATTCGATTAGGTACTGATACATAGCATCTGATCTGACATTAAAAAAGCAATTCCTTAGATCTGTCGTTGTTTTTAACTTCAACACTATGAAGGAAGAAATTTTTTTTTTCTATTTTCCCGAGGATGGTTAGGTAAATTAGGACGCAAAGTAAATAGCCATTTATGCCAGTAAGGTCAATATTAAGAGCATATAGCTTCATTCAATATTTAAGGGCTTTTCACCAATAATTCCATTCTAGTTACAATTAGGGGGTTGGTTCAATTTCTACAAATTATAGGAAATGTTTTCCATCCAAAATATGATTTTATTATATTTCTTAAAAAGTTATAGGAAAAGTTTTGAGAAGTCAAAAATTACCAATTTTTTTGTTTTTTTTACTTTGTTTGTTTGGTTCAAAACAAGAAAATAGCTCATAACTTTATAGAAAATATCAAGATTTTCTATAATTTGTAAGAACCAAACGCACCCTAAATTTATAGAAAAATATTAACTTTATAGAAAAGTGTCAATTTGGTGTCAGATTTCTGGGTGATTTCCGCACATTTTAAGAGTAAAGTGATTTCTGTAAATTTTGGTATTTTTTTGTACTTTATAAAAAATATTTCTGTATTTTTTTGAACCAAACACAGTTTACGAAAATCAACAGAAAAATTTTAATTACAGAATTATCATTGTCAGATATTTTAAGAAAACTTTTCTATAAAATTGTGCAACAAGAACAACCCCTTATCATAGTACTTACTCTAGCCCGTAAGGTACCGTTTGGCAAAGGGTTAAGTGAGGGGTTAAGGAGACTTAACCCCTTCTTAACCTGCCAAACACAACAAATTTATATAAGGGTTAAAGTGAGTTAACCCTCCATAATTTGCCAAACATAAAAAATATAGAAGGGTTAAGTTAACCCCTCTAGAGGGGTTAAAATGAGTTAACCCCTCAAAATGAGGGGTTTACTAATACTCCTATTTAGATGGAATAAGAGTTAACCCTTCTAATTGTAAAGAAAATAGTCAAAATCATTGTTATTCCCAAACACTAAAACTGGTCATAAGGGCTAAAATAAAACTTATTTAACGGGTTAATAATTTAGTCCTTCGGATTATCAAATGGGCTAAGTACATTAATCCTTCTCTTTAACCCCTCTTCATTAACCCTTTGCCAAACGGGGCCTAAATGTATAACCGCCCAAAATAAAACACTAATCATAATTCAGAACGTCGGATTGCTAATTAATCTGAGGTGCAAAGTGAGGGGGAGCCCAGTGGCAAGTAGCAATTTTCTAATGTAGTGAGGTGGGCTTCGTGAACTGTGGGTCCCCCCTCTTCACCGCAAAGAGATACGCGGGAGCGCCGATCGAGGCGCACGAGCTTCTCAGTGCCGCGTCCCCACAAAATTTAATTTAATCCCGTGCCGAATTCTCAACGCGATGGCCCCTATGCGAACCAAGCCATCCACCGTCCGCGTGTCCTCATCACTCTTAGCGCGTAAGGGACATTTGTAGATCGTCTCGTATAGGAGCATTCTTATTTATTGATTCCCCAGTTCGATGCGGGTCATCACGTTCAGATATTAATCAACTAATTAATTAATATAAACGAAATAAAACGGAGAAAGAGATTTCGAGGAGAGGAGAGATTTGAGAGCGACTCGAGTCGAGGGAGGGACTGAGATCTCAAATATCGATCTCTTCTTCTTCTTCTTCATTCTCTCTCTCTCTAGAAACCCTAGATTTGGTGCTTTTCCTTCTTCTTGTTCAATGGAGGCCTCTCCGCCCCTGCCGATCTTCTCATGGATCGCCATGGCGATCCTGCTCTCCATCGCGCCAGCTGGATGCTTCTATCTCCCCGGCGTAGCTCCGGCGGACTTCCAGAAGGTCGACCTCTCATTCCCTCTCATTGTTGATCTCGAGCTGTTAGCTCTGCATCACTGCAAGATTGCAGTTTTTACTTATTTATTCGGATTCGTGTTTTTTTTCCTCAAAAAAATTGAAATTCGATGAGAAATGATGGCTTCTTTGTTGAGCTGACTGAGTTATTTTAGGTAGATTTATACTTAGTTATTGCATGCATGTTAGAGTTTGCATTATCATCTTAAAATTTGGAATTTGATTGTTAGGATGCAGAGCCTGTATGTATGTGTGGGATGATATGGAGGGGGAACAAAAATAAAAATAAAAAAAAAACATGCACATGATTTAGACTACTGGGTAAGCACTAAAAGAGTAGTTCTTGAGCTTAAATTGTTAAGTAGTATGTGCTTGTAAATTGTAATTTGTATGAAAATGGTTTAGTGAAATTTCAAATGAGATCTTCAGGGGTATTTATGGAAGAAAAGGTAATAATAATAATAATAATAAGTACATCGGAACGTTAATAGAGGGTTGGGAAGATATTAAAATGCTGGTTATCAAAGATATGGTTTTATTGAGGAAGTGTGATGAAACTTGTATTCCAACACAAAGCGAAGGATCCTATGAATCTTATGCTAAGAAGTTGCTTGTGGAAAGAGAAATTTAAGTGGGAACAGGGTAATGTTGTTCATCAGGTATTTGGCGGAATTGCTGATAGATTAAAGCTCTTTCTTCCTTTTTAGAATTCACATGTAAGAAATGGCCTACGAGCATCTCTCCGTACATCTGTATGGAACAGATTATGTATAATGCCGAGTGATATTTGGGAAGCGTGGAGACATATTAGTAGTTTCACGTCCTTGGATTGATTTTGAGAACTTCAATACGTTGTTGAATTAATAGGTTTTTTGCCCACTGTATAACTTGATAGTTAGATCCCCGGATTCCCAAATTTAAGAATCTTTGTATTAAATCATATTCGTACCAGACCCTTATCATGCACCCCTGTAAGACAAATCCTTGCAGACTATGCATCCTTACTAATAGACGTATGTGACTCAAAGAAAACTGGGAATTAGTGCTTCTAATTATCAGATAATTACTTTTAATTTACATTTCTTTCATTTTTAATTCAAACATTATGCAAAATTCAGAACTTCATGGAGGCTTTTGTAATTGTAACACTAGGGAATCAGAGAAACAGAGGATAAACTACAAAAATGGTCGTTATATATGTAATTGTATTAATTTATGTGGATTTGGATACAATTAGTTATACGTTATATGGTATTTTCAAAATAAGATTTATCTGGCGGATTTAGAAAGTAAATTTTTTCTAAGATTTGAGGTAGGTGACATGCCGAACCTCAAATGAATGTGGCTCTGCCCCAGAATATGAACACCTTTAACCGTTATATTATTAGTTTATTTTTCTTTCAGTTTTAGTTCCTACATTATATAAAGTTCAGACCTTTAAGAACATGTTGAACCATGTCACTGGAAGTTTCCTTGTAACTCGTAAGTAACACAAGATTTTCGAACTCTTGATGCAATGTGCCTATAAGCGAGCTATGATTTTCAAATATGTTCATAGCTCAAATAAATTTGCTGAAGGCAATTTAAGTCTACTTGTCTTATAGCTTAGCATTTACCTACATAAAAGTTCAGTTATCTGTTTATCGTTGGTCTTTAGGCTCTTCTGTCTCGTTATGCATATTTTGATGGAATGCCTGATGATCATACTTCCTTTCTATTCTTTGATGTGTATATCTGGGCGAGTGAGAATTAACAACTAGTTTTGACTCAGCTGAGTTTTTATTGGTTGTTGAAAGTATCTTGTTATTTCTTTATTTGCTTTGGAATGTTTTAAATGTATAACTAATTATCTCAATCTTTTTCCTATATTCTAGTCATTTATTCTATATTCTATATTCCCCAAGGTTTCTTTATTGCTTTGGAATATATCAATTGTTCTATGTTCTAATGGTTAACCCCAAAGTTTTGTCTTGCGCTTTTATAATTTATAGTACTGAGCGTGTAAGTTTTGGCTGCAGAAAGATCCACTGACGGTGAAAGTGAACAAACTGACTTCTACAAAGACCCAGCTTCCATATTCTTATTATTCTCTTCCTTACTGTAAGCCACAGACTGTAATTGACAGTGCCGAAAACCTTGGGGAAGTGCTCCGTGGTGATCGTATTGAAAACTCTCCCTATGTGGTTAGGTTCCACCTTAGTTAATTTCTGCATAATTTAACTCTTTGTAGTATAGTTTTTCCTAACTGAGTTGTAAATTTTAATCTTTTAAATCTTATGTGTAGTTTGAAATGAGAGAGCCCAAGATGTGCCATATTGTCTGCAAGGTAACTCCCAATGAAAAAGAAGCAAAGGAACTTAAGGGAAAGATAGAGGATGACTACAGGGTTAATATGTATATAAGCCTCTCCACTGTTTTTTTTTTTTTGAGAGAAAGCTCTCTACTGATATTGTGATCCATCGCTAATGCAAATGCATCAACATAACAATTTACAGGATCCTTGACAATCTTCCCCTAGTTGTTCCTGCCAAAAGACTGGATCATGATTCTCCAACGATATACCAACATGGCTTTCATGTTGGCTTCAAAGGCCAAAATGCTGAAGTAATTACATGCTGATACTTAAAAATTAATTTTGTAATAATTTCAAAATCTGTTAACTGATTGCAGCAAAACTTCTCAATCTTTTGCAGAGCAAGGAAGAAAAACATTTTATCCACAACCATCTATCCTTTCTTGTTAAGTATCACAAGGATTTAGAAACAGACCTTGCGAGGATAGTGGGATTTGAGGTCAAGCCCTTCAGGTAAGTTTCTTATCCTTGAATTGAATATGTGTTGGGGACTTATTTGCAAACTTGTATTCTCTATTTACCTCTCCTTCATTTATGTTCTAGTGTTAAGCATGACTATGAAGGTGACTGGGAAGAAGGCAAGACTAGGCTGATTACCTGTGATCCTCATGCAAAACGGATAGTTACAGGCTCCGAATTTCCACAAGAGGTGGAAGAGAAGACAGATATTATATTCACTTATGACGTTGAATTTCAGGTGTGACTATTAACTGCAAATGCTTTAATGATAATATTAGTATCCAAGCTTGACACCTTCTCTCTATTTATGATAACCTGTCTCCTTGCCTAGTTTATATTTAGCTTCTTCAGTTGCTACTTTGTAACCTTTTCAAAAAATTTAAATATCCTCTCAAAGCCTGGAATATTGAAAGAATCTGATATATTTCAGGAAAGACCTTGGGTCATCTGACAAAGAATATTGTTTTTTGTTTGTTCTCAGTGAAGAGATAAGCATCAATATCTTATGAAAGAAAAATAACTTAGTGTCCATGTTCATAAAAATTTTACTATTATACCATAAATAAAAAGATACCAGAAATTACTCAATTCTCATTTTGGTTAGCCTGTAACCAAGTCAACCTTCACAGTTTCTATGAAGTAACATGTTTTAGTTTCTTTAAGTATTGTAAGAGTACAAGTATTCACATAATCTAAAAAGGTATCTACACACAAAACGGGCAATGGGCATATTGTAGTATGTCTTGATGCTAAATCTTTATCCTTTCCCCTTTTCTTCACAGGAGAGTGATGTGAAGTGGGCATCCCGGTGGGACACTTACCTCCTAATGAATGATGACCAAATCCACTGGTTCTCCATCGTCAACTCACTAATGATTGTCCTCTTTCTCTCTGGCATGCTGGCCATGATCATGTTACGTACTCTGTACCGAGACATCTCCAAATACAACCAGCTCGAAACCCAAGAAGAGGCCCAAGAAGAAACTGGCTGGAAATTAGTCCATGGCGACGTCTTCAGGCCTCCATCCAACTCCGATCTTCTGTGTGTCTATGTAGGCACTGGCGTCCAATTCTTTGGTATGTTACTTGTGACAATGATGTTTGCTGTTCTTGGCTTCCTATCCCCCTCAAACCGAGGAGGATTGATGACAGCAATGCTCCTTCTTTGGGTATTTATGGGCATTTTTGCTGGATACTCCTCTTCAAGACTCTACAAGATGTTGAAGGGTTCAGAGTGGAAGAGAATTGCTCTGAGGACAGCGTTCATATTCCCCGCTACTGTTTTTTCCATCTTCTTTGTGCTCAATGCTCTTATATGGGGAGAGAGATCTTCTGGTGCTGTGCCCTTCACCACCATGTTTGCCCTTGTCTTGCTTTGGTTTGGTATCTCGGTTCCTTTGGTCTTTGTAGGAAGTTATATCGGGTTCAAGAAGCCAACCATTGAGGACCCTGTTAAGACCAACAAAATCCCTAGGCAAATCCCAGAACAAGCGTGGTACATGAACCCAGTCTTTTCAATTCTAATTGGCGGAGTCCTTCCTTTCGGAGCAGTGTTCATCGAGCTCTTCTTCATTCTAACCTCAATTTGGCTTCACCAGTTCTACTACATATTCGGCTTCCTCTTCTTGGTCTTCATCATACTTATAGTTACTTGTGCTGAGATAACCATCGTGCTGTGTTACTTCCAGCTTTGCAGTGAAGATTACTTGTGGTGGTGGAGGTCTTATTTGACCTCAGGCTCTTCTGCACTCTACCTCTTCTTATACGCGATGTTTTACTTCTTCACGAAACTGGATATAACCAAGCCAGTTTCTGGGATTTTGTACTTCGGCTACATGCTCATTGCTTCGTATGCCTTCTTTGTGCTCACGGGGACTATAGGCTTCTATGCTTGCTTCTGGTTCACGAGGCTCATCTATTCATCGGTTAAAATCGATTAAAATCATTGGAGGATTGTTCGATTTAACCTCCACATTCTGAGTAGCCATGTCATTCGATATTGTGATTCCATTAGGTTCTCTAGGATGAGCAGCTTCTTTAATACCCTTTTTAACTTTTTAGTTATTGTTTCTAGTGATTAAGAGGGGCGTCTATTGTATGTTATCAATAATTTATAAAAAAAAATTCTTATGAGTTTTGTCCTTGTTATTCTTTTTCCACTCTCATAGGCAAATGTTTATTCCTACATTGTAATGTATCAGTGGCGTCGGTATTCATTACTTGAGAAGAGAAACATTGTTGCGTTACTTGATACTTACTACTTTTGTTACATGCATCATTTGATGTTTGCACAATTTGGGCTTATAAGCAAATTTACTCCTACGAAGTTTAGGCTTCTCATCGTAAGAGAAAGAATATGACCCTAAATCTTGACCCCTTAAAAGAACTATGCCCAGTGAAAGAACAAACCCATATGGTTTTACAAATGTTTGAAGCCTAACATTTATGCTAATACACGCAAGTTTCTATTAAGAATTTAATAGGAATTGAATTTCGTTTTTTTTATTGTACAAATCTTCATATTTTAGCTTGGTAAATAATCTTCAGTGTTCTAAGTATGACTTCAAAACTAGTTCAAATTAGAACACTAAATAGAACTGACATGTAGGAATCAATCTTCAAGAAGTCCTTAATATAAAAGGAACCCAGAAACCCTTCAAAATCAAATATAAAATTTTTAGGGTTTCTAGATATTGATCCTTAATCTTAAATATTTTAAAAAAAGTCTCCCCCGAAGCATTGCAATTTAATCCTTTAATCTATATGAAGAATCCCAAACTAGCCCATGTGTGAAGAATACTCCATTAAACTTAACTTTCGGGTCAAGAATCTATACAATCTTGATTGTAGAGAATGCCTACAATCACATAGATGAGTTCATACCGGTGGCTTATCTCAGGCGGTCACACAGTTAAATTTTTTTAATATTACTTTGATAAATAATATCATTTATGAGGACATTATGTGAAGAATTTTGATCGGTAAGTTGTAGAGAATCTCTACAATCAAAGTATGTGGACGATCTCTACCGTTACCTTTTGACTCTTTAACAAATTGAACGGAAATAAAAGGCCTTCTCATTTAACTAGGAGACCGATAGAAGAAAGGACTTGAGCTCCTCCTCCTCCTTAACGCAGGTAAATAATAAACTCTTTTTAACTCCCTCACCAAGTTAAATCTCCACCAACTCCTGTCTCTAAATAAAAACTCCCCCTTTTTCTTTTATTTCTCGATTTAGGGCGATCCTTGTTCTCCCATTGACGACCCAAGTTCGTCAACCAAAAACCCTAGATTGAAGTCAGAAGCTGCGTTCCGACTCGAAACCCGGGAAAGATGGTACCTTTTCTTAGCCTTTTCCTGATTTGATTATCGTGCTATCAGTTTCTTTTCGATCGATTTACATCGAAATTTAAAAGGTTTTGATGTGAATTTTGACGCGTGTGGCTCTGGCTTTCTTCTTTCTCAATCGCGTCAAACCCTAGGTAGAGATTTGCGCCTTTTTCAGGATTTGAGGCTGGATTTTGTAACTAAGGCTCTTTTTTTTTCAACCGTTCATCGGTTTGAGACAAAGACGTGAAATGATATCTCTGAACTATGCTGTTGTCTGAATTGATTCCGGTGTTAATTATTATGTTTAATTTTGCAGTTTTTTGAAGGATTTGGTTACCATGGGACTTCCTTTGAGCAGACTTATCGATGTTACCCGGCATCCTTTATTGAAAAGGTTTGAAATCGTGATCTCTATGTAGTTTGATGTTAAGACGCTCTGCCATTTGTAAGTCTAATAGGGTTCGATTCACTTGCTGTTTCTTTTTGTTTGCGCATATTTATGTGGTGGTTTTCATAAGGGATCCTTACAAGTATCATCTTTACATCTTTACTAATGAAGAGTGTAGCGTGGACGGCATGTCTTCCTAAAGCTATTCATGCCATGGTGATGAATACCGTCTACTAGTTCATGAATCGCACATTTGTAGCAGTACTGTTATCACTCTTGCTCTTTAGACAACTGAAGAGCTTTCATGATCATCGTCAACATGATTCTTGCACGAATTACTTCAACATTGTAAATTTGATGTTATGACCACTTACTTTAAAGGTGATAGTTCTCTGAAACGGATCTCACATGTGGAAATTGTCTATGATGAGCTCCTTGGAACAAGAGCATAAGTCCTTTGATCTGGTCCCTTGTCATGAAAAGCATCCTATTTTGTTAAGCATCTATAGCTTATTCATCATTCCTTTTTGGGAAGGAGGGGCGTGGTTTTAGACAGGAGAAGCTAAAGATGTTTATTTATTATTATTTTTTTTTGAGAAAGAGGGGAGAGGCCATGTTCGTAGGTGGTCATATATCCAATGGTCATATATCCATTCTTTCACAGAGCACTATAGTTTGGATGTGATTATAATTTTATCTGAAAGAATGTGTCTGGGAAACATCTTGTTTGTTTTGACATTTGTTCTTTAGTACTCTTGTCTTGCTGGTAGGCTCATGGTTGACTGCTTTATAGCTGATAACAATTTGGTTAAGATATTTGCATAATGCAACATTTATTCAATCTAGGACTTGTTGCATAGATAACTGAATTTATAAGGACATTCACATAGTTGGGTCCAGAACATCTGGGATGATGGTTTGTTTTCGTTATTCAAACTTTGAGGAAGTTTAGCGTTAAAGTTTCCAATGATTAACTTCTCTAGTCTCGACTAATAATCGGTGGCTTTCTACATGAAATTTATCATTATCTAATATTTATTATGATCCCAAGAAGTTTGAGGTTGGATCTTGAGAGAATAGTGAGATAGTGTCATGGGCAATGCAATGGGGTATTCATAGTTTACTACCTGCGTACCTTTCAACAGTATCCTGGCCTAAAGTCCTTAAAATAATCGAATCTCTCACGCATGTTTTCTCCATCACATGAAAGTATATCAGTATATAGTACTAGATTGTAGTGTTTTTGTATTCTTTCTTGCACAAAAAGTTTCTTCTTCTGTCTTAAGAACTTATTAGCATCAGAGTAGAAGTTATAATATAAAATTCCTTTATGCATTAGAAGTTGGCATCCTCATGTTGACCTTTGACACTACTGATTACATTCTTTTTTTAATTCTTGCAGCCACAGATTGAAGTTGGCGATAAAAGTATGCTATTTCAAACCTTGTATATTTGTTGTTTGTATGCTATTTTCCCTTTGAACCTATTGACATAATATGCTCTGAATTTCAGTTATAATGCCTCCGTCGGCTCTTGATCGTCTTGGTGAGTTGAAATACCACCAATGATACATGTACATTGTTTAGATAGTTTGATAACAGTATCATATAGAAACATATGGATGACATCTTCCAATATATTTTGACATCTACAGCATCTCTTCATATTGATTACCCTATGCTGTTTGAGCTACACAATGCTGCCACTGAGAGAATTTCACATTGTGGTGTCCTGGAATTTATCGCGGAAGAAGGGATGATTTATATGCCATACTGGGTGGGTACCACAACTAAGCTATTTCTCTGAGTTGGGCATGAAGTGATCCTTATGCATTTTGTTGTTCTTCCAATTCTTTGATCAGATGATGCAAAATATGCTTCTGCAAGAGGGAGACATTGTCCGTGTCAAGAATGTAACACTTCCAAAGGGTACATATGTCAAGCTGCAGCCTCACACAACAGACTTCCTCGATATATCAAACCCAAAGGCCATGTCAGTAATTTATACAGAAAGATGTTATCATTGTTGCATACCATTAGAAACACTAATTTTTGTGAGATTATGAATTGCTCATGTAACATGTTTCAGCCTATATGATGTCTGTACTAACCTTTTACTTCTTGCAATATGTGCAGCTTGGAAACAACATTAAGAAACTTCTCATGTTTAACAACCGGTGACAGCATCATGGTAGCTTATAACAATAAAAAATACTACATAGATATCGTGGAGACAAAGCCTTCTTCTGCAATAAGCATTATTGAGACAGACTGTGAGGTGGATTTTGCGCCGCCTCTTGATTATAAAGAGCCAGAACGACCTCAACAACCCTCTATCCCATCAAACAAAGCACCGGCCCAAGGTTTGCATTCCGTTTACACTCCCTGCCATATTATTAATATTATTATTTTGTAGTTTCCTGTTCATTTGACTATGTTAAAATTTCTTAGTTGCACATGCTTCTGGATAAATAGTGTGGTTGCTTATGTTTCTAATCATCCTCATGTGGCGTTTTTAGTTGCTGTTTATGTTTTACACTTTGTGAGAGTGTGACTTCATATTGTGGAAGAAACCAAGTGTGGTTTGTTATGTTTTAGTAATACAGAGAAAGAGCTTCCAAACAAAAAAGGATAATACAACAACGTTTTCTCAGTGGAATCTCTTCTAATCATGTTTTCACCCCGTGAGATTGCTCCCTACCTTGTCTCAAGTGATTGTCACCATTGTGAATTTCAGTTCCATGTTTTATGAGGGTCCTTTACTTCTTTTTTTAATTAGCTGTATTTCTCTACCTTGTTCAATGTCATCCATATCTGGAGCTAGGGCTGTCATAGATTCCAAAATTCTAGAAACTGTTTCCACAAATCACATTTCAATAAAACATGTGTCATTCGTCATCATAGTTTTCATTGTATCCTGTTCTTCTAGAAAAATGACAATATTTGACAGGAACAAATTGATGATCAAGACATGACAAATCAAATGTTCGACTTGATCATTTGTACCTACAAATATAATTAAATTAGGAGAAAAGGAATACGATTCGATGCTATTAGTATAATTTGGCACTCATCTTACCCCAGCATGTGCCATTTGCATGTCCACCCATGTTCTTTTGTGTTGTACTATATAGAAGCTTAGTATTACCTGTAACCTGCTCATGCTGCGAAGTGCGAAAATGATCATGAACTCTCTCTTATGACAATAAACTGTGTGATACATCTAAACCTTTTGTTTTAGACTCGTGTTTTCGAGCATGAGACAGAAAATATTTTGTTAAAAGTATTAATTAGATGGTGGATGATAATATTATGTTGGATAGAAATAAGGTGATGCTACTTTATATTATGCTGAATGTGCTTAATACTAATTCTCGTGGATTCAGTTCAAGAGGCTGAACCTGAAGAACCAAAATTCAGCCCCTTTACTGGAGCTGGAAGGCGATTAGATGGGAAGCCTTCAAAGAATCCAGCCCCGGCGAGCTCTTTGCCTTCAAAACCAGCTCAGCCTGAAGCATCTAGCAGCGCGAAGCAGCCTGCATCATCTACTTCTCAGAGTGGCTCTTCAAGGCAAACTGCAGGGAAGCTTGTATTTGGTTCTAATGCAAATACTGCTCCGAAAGAAGCACAGAAGGTGAGAACTGGTCTAGTTTAGTGTCATTATCTTTACGTGGATGAGATGTGTTTTTTCAAAGCTTCAGCTTTAACTTTGCTAAAGCATCTAGGTAGGGTTAAAATATGACATTTCTTGGCATGCTTCATATTATCTCTTCATTACTGAGCTGGTTGTAAACGGAGCTACCAGATACTGCTGAGTTTTTTTTATCAGATTATATTTATGATGGTGAAGCTAAAACTAGACATTTTATACCAGTTACAAAGGTTTGTTTCACTACAACTAATAAATGCAGTTAGAATTGTCAGTTACAAAAAGGTCTCCAGCTGCAATCGACAGACTTGCATAGATTTAGATATGTCGCAACTTTTCGAATTGTCAATGGGGTTTATTTTGCAACTTCAATTCCAACTATAGCTCCTTAATAGTAAGCCCAAAAAATCTGACAACCTAAAAAGGTTACCCATAACTACAGTGACAACTATAAAGTGGAAATTTTTTTAGAACTGAACAAACACAACTACAAATACAATTGCACGCAACAGTAGTCGCAATAACTAACAGTTTGCATCGAGCCAAATGCTCTGATGAAGCTATATGCATCACTTGTGTAATGCTTTGATTAGCGAACACTGGGGGTCTGATGTACTTGTTTGATTCTCAACTGTGCAGGCACCAACGAAAGAAGAGCCGCCAACGAAGGAAGAGCCAAAGTTCCAGGCTTTTACCGGGAAGAAATATTCATTGCGGGGCTGATCATGTCACCGCGATGCATGCTTCTCTTTCTTCCGTAGGCATCAAGAAGCATCAGATTGTGCTAGGATTTAAAGGGAATGTATCTGAAAAAATATTTATTTCCTCAACTCTGCATAGTTTGTGATTTCAAAGATAACACCTACCTTAAAATCTGTCATATTTATTGGGCGCAAAACTGTTCAAGAGCTATGGGTGCGTTGTGGGGACTCCTGCATATTGACTGCAAACGTTCTCATGAAATTGAGGATTACAGATACATCACTTATTAATCCTGTCTTTGTGTTGTATGATTACATTCCTTTGGTATGAGGTCTGTTTCTTTGGAATGCAAGCCAGAAAACACAAATTTGTGATTTCCAGTCGATTCCTGGGAATTCTAGTATTGAGTTTGATTTTTTTTAAAATAAGGGGTGAAAATGATGTGGGAATCCTCGGGAATGGACAACCTTATGAGCTAATCGTGTCCCTTTTCCTCAGTTTGTTAATTGAGAAAGCATCATTGGAAATCAGTATAATATCACTATAGGTGAGAAAATCGCCCACAAGAGACATTCAATTGCGCTATAAAAAAGAAGGGCGAGTTCATCGCATTTTGAAGAAGCATATTGGTTTCAACGGCTATATTTTGGCTAGCAACCTATAAACTGGTATACACGTTATTAGCATGTAATTCTCTTTCATTTCTTCCAAAACTGCGACAAATTTTACAAACATTTGCATATTTGTCTATTTCAGACATGGATATTCAAACCCGCAACATCAAAACAAATGAAAATGATGATAAAAATTGCTCAAAACCAGGTTCAAAAAAAAAAAAAAATGCTCAAAACCATCTTCACAACTACAAAATGCATATTTTGATCATATAGCAAATTCTAACAGATGATAGATAGTCAGAAGAAAACAGTTGTACCCTCACCTAAGTTCAATTACATAGGCATAAACATAGTAAATAATGAAATTTATTTAGATTGAAAATATCACTCTCAAAATATGATCAAATATTAATCAGAATTAGCCTTCCCATACATCAAATAAATAATGCAGACTACTAATCAAATGTTATTGACCTTCATCATGTCAAGCAATAAAATCACAAAGAAAGACAAGTCTCTTCTTTTAGTGGTAAAATCACAACTTTGTATTTTAGATACAACATATAATCTCTGTATAATCCTAAATCACCAAAAGAAAATTCAGTTTTTTCAAGAAAAAGAGAAAAAAGAAATCAAAGTAATTAGGGGTTTTATACCTTTCATCAAATGAGGTTAGATTGAACGACTCAAGAGTGAGAGATAAGACAAATCAAACCCCAGCAAGTCAAAAAAATAATAAAATCCACCAATTGTATGGTTGAATTTTTTGTAAAATTTAACAAACCAACAACAGATCAACAAAGCAATAAAATTTGCCATGTTGTTAATAATTGTTAATCTCAGCCGACATGCAAACAACGGGAGTACCCAAAAAAGGACCAAGTACCGTACCAATAAACAGAAATTAATTATAACCGAGGGTTTCAAATTTCAAAAAGCAAAAAAAAAAAACATCATTATTATTACATTTACAAAAAAAAAAAAAAAGTAGTAGTTATAATCCCATAGCATCAACATCCTCTATTTCTTGACCCCACGACCGTCCTCCCCGCCGGTGCCCCCGTCTTGTATATACGCGGCCTCTGCCGCCGCAACAGCAAGCCTTCGCACCATCCTCGGCGCGTGGTCCCGGCTGGCCTTGTAGTAACGTGAGGTACCCGATGGCTCCCACTAATGGCGAGCCGGCGGGCGGCCATGGTCGCCGTGGCTGAAGCGCATGCTGGCGGCGCTGGTGAAGCACAGCCGCCCGGTGCTGCCCAGGGGGCCGCTTGGGAGGAGTCTGACGGCCCGAGGTTCCTTGAGCTCCTCACTGCCGGACGTTGTGCGTGTCGGCGTTGCATCCGCCATCCCCCTCGCTGTCGCTGGCATGATGACCGAAGAGTAAGAGCCTCATCTGCGATCCTCCTCTTTTTTTTTTTGCGTTTTTTTTTTTTTTTTTTTTGTGTCGCGGTGATTAGGGATGTTCGAGCATGCACGGCGGTGAGGGCCTAAGCGGTTGACGCGTAGGTATAGCTGGACGTGTCTAATGGAGGCCCATGCAGGCCCGACTACAGAACCTGGTTTTGTTGGGCCTCGGCCCGTTTAGGCCTCATCTCAGCCCTGTAAGCTTGTCCCTGGGGTTGTTAAACCTAGCTGCGGCTTCGTTTGGTTGCCGTACTAAAAAAAACCCATCTGAGGTGAAGTATTCATGTAAATTTTTATTAACGATCGAAAGAAAAGCAGTGAAGCCATAATATCGATTCATAACACAGCAATCAACAAAGAATTTGTTGAAATGAAGTACACAGTCTACTCCTCTGCATCAGAGTAATCATCTTCCTACAGAGAGTTGCAGCAGCTTAGCTGCAAACTCAAAAGAATGATATATGTACACACATTATTTGATGAACCGTACGTAGTATTAATATCAATAGTTCTTAATGCACAACATGTAGAAACGCGACCTCGGTTTCCATCTCCATAGTCGCAGTTCGACCATCTACAAAGGCATTAGTCTTTTGTACTTGAAGAAGAGAAGGAAGGCACAGAAGATGAGTACACAGCAGGCTGCGGTAATTATGAGCACCCATTCAAAAGCTTCTGGCTCATCAAACAGTGGTACGGCAAAGTTCATACCGAAGACTCCGGCAACCACTCCGAAGATCGCAACAACAAATGTAGCGGTCGTTAGTAGCAGCTCAAATTGAATCAACTGGTTTCGGACGTTATCCTGAAGGAACAGAAGTTAACTAACGTCAGTAGCTATGCAGTCTTAGCTGTTCCTGTCCTGAAGCTGTCGTTTAATTAGCTGTAACGAGAATTACAATTATGACGCGAGTGTCATGCAACTGCAATCTGCAACTGCTACAATTGCTGCAGCATCAGACAGTAACTGTAATTTTTTGGTTCAGTGTTTAAGTTTTGGAGTTTGTGGTTGCGGTTGGAGTTCCAGGTGTTAATGTTTTCAATTACCAATTTTTATGAACTTGTGTTGAAAGTTTGATGCAGCTGGAGCTGCAAGTTATATCCTATCTGCATAAATTGTCAATTAAAACTGGATGTCTTTCAGCAACTGTATTGCAATTGCAATTGTTAGTTGCAGTGAAACAAGCAGCTGCAATCTTTTTGAATGTGGTAATTTTCTCGGCTTCCCACCTCATAATTTCTCACAAGGAGACTAACTTTATTTGTTAAATTTAAGAAAAGTAGAAGAAAACTTACCAGCTGAATGTTAATGAAATCTTCTGTGTCATCGATGTACTCCTTCATCTAAAAGAGAGCAAGTGGAAAACTAGTTTTTAGAATTTCAACTCATAACCAATAAAACGCAGCACGCTGAACAAGACTATTGCTTACCGTTGTCAACTTGTTAAGAGTGCTATCAATGACCACAAAATAAGCTTCCAACAACATCTCCAACTCGTCTATGTTCTCCATGGAGGTCTCAGAGCTCTTTACACTACTCTCATGCCTACTCCTAGAGAAGCTCATATTTGCCTCGAGCTTTCGGGGGTTAGGTGGAGAAGCAACAGGAGAAACAGGGGCAGAAGCAGATACTCCATTAGAATTGAATCCTAGTACAGATTGCTGTACGCAGAATGGCGATGATGATTCTATTCGCTTCTTCTTTTCAGTAAGGTACATTTCAGCCATGTCACCGTCATCGTCCATCAATTGTTCAATCTCATCCCTAACCTATCCAATAAAGCTTCAATTTTCCATTCGAAAGACTGAAATACAAAAACATGAAAGATGTGGAAAGATTGAATCAGGAATTATAAACCTTTTGAACTCTTCTAGTCAATGCCACAAGTCTGCTTTTCAATTTACGAACCCTTTCCAAGTTTAAAGTGCTGAGCTTTGATGTTAACTCATCCAATAATGGGTAAGCTTCAATTTGTAGCTCTGCTGCCTGTTTAAGAAGGAGATGCAAGATGCAATATACAATTACTTGAGTTATAAAACAGATCGAAATACTCCACTTATGTCAAAATACATTTTCAAATGTTAATATTTCAGATATTCACGATATAGTAACTTGATACGAACAAGACCAATCATGCAAGATTTTACAATCATCACCAACAAATTTGTCTGTCATGTGCCCGTAGTTGAAAAGCAATAAACCTCGCCTTATATAAGCATGAGATAATACAAAAAGAAACAGATCAATCATATTTGACCTCTCCAATAATCTCAAAGCAATGAAGCCATCCATTTCACATAGATGATGATTATTTAGATATGCTATATCAGCAAGCTAAGAGTCTAAAACTACTTAACAATTACAGTGACAGTTCTTTCTTTTGACCAAGAAACTCTATTTTGTAGCTCTTTGCCATCGAACCTATGATGATAAGTACATGAGCAGCTGTATAGTAAAATGAAATCAACAAACGATTGTCAGACACAGGACTCTTCAAAAGCATATAGTTATGTGGGTATTTTTGTTTTCCATGTGAGAACACAATGAAGCATGAAGAACAAGTGTTCTAACTTCTGAGTATGAAGAACAAGTGTTGCATAAGAATGGCCATTGGTCATGCTAATAAATTCAAAGACTTCTCAGTTCGATGCAGCAATAAAGTATTTGTTATTATTCTCATGTATGAGAATCATGCTTCGATAAGAACTAAAAATCCATAAGTAAATAATTCATTCGCCACAATGTCTTCTTTGTAAAATTCACACTGACCAGTATCGATATCCTACACTGCAACTAATCTAAATTTTTACAAGGGAAAACTTGGAATAACAATAGCAATAGATCCTTGTTAAGCATAGCTTTTCGCTTTGTATTTTTCCCGGATCAAGCAACTCTATTTTGTAGCTCTACTGCCTCTAAAGTTAAACCTATGACGATAAGTATTTGAGCAGCCATGCAATGACATAGGCAGATGGTCAGCAACAGGGACATATAAGCCCAAAAAAGACAACCCCAGCAGTTAATTCACGAGTGTATGTAAATTTTGTGTATATGCACATATTTATCTACGTCTGTATTTGATTTTTTGTGAGAAAATGCTTCTAACAACAAAACAGAGAAAACAATAACAACAACGAGAATGCAGCATTTAATTCACATACACATCGATTATGTAGCAAGTGTTTGATATGCATGAATAACAGTAATGAATTCACTCGGACATGTACTTGCATGTGATAAAATCTCCGTTATGATTCTCGCCAGAGCTAATAATAGTAAAAGGGGAGGAATGGAAAATAGAAATCTTATCCACAAAATCTCTACTCTTCTGAAATCTGCATTGACTGGTACCAATGTCCCATTGCAATTAGCCTAAAATTTTATCTTAAATCACAATCCCTCTAAAGGAAGCGCAAACCAATAGTTTCACCTTTATCATCGTAAGAACGTCTCCAGGCGAACTGTTCACTAATAAGTCATGACCAGAGAGTCTACCTGCGTATCTGAGAAACGCGTCAGGGCGGCTCCAGCGCGAACCTCGAGCGCCCTGAACTAAACGGCAGTAATCCGCGCGCGGACTCCGTCGCCTCCGGCGCCGGCAGGACGGCCCTGCCTGCTAGCTCGCCGCCGACGCATGGCGGACGACGTGCGGCCTCGAGCGAGTTGAGGATGAGGACGCTCGTCGGCGGTGATCTACGCAGCGGATCTGCTGAAGTTGACGACGATGGCCCTCTTCCCGAGCGAGGATGCGCGAGGGTAGACGAAGAAGGTGCGAGGAGGCGCGAGGTCGCGCGCGGGGAGGTTCGCAGCGGCGCATGATGGGCGAGGCTTGTGCGCCCGGATGGGCGTCCAGAGGATCCGGTGCGGCGTCGACCGATCGCAGGACCGGAGGCCCTGCCCCCGTAATTTCTTGAGTTGAGGAATGCAGGTTTGGAGGGAGCGGCCCGCGAAGAGGAGGAGTCGGTTCGGTTCGTTCGGTTAGGATGGACGTCGATCGGGTCGAGGAGGAGGGGTCTTTGGAATACCACGACATTGTTGTCGCTCCCGTAAATTAAATAATAAAATTAATAATATAATAATAAATGAGAAAATTGATGAGAGGAGAGCGAAACAAAGAGAGAACTAGATTTGATGAGGACCCGTCGGTTAATAAGTGCCAAGTTGATCGATCGGTTGGCCGCGAGCGGGCCCCGGTTTGGTTTCCGCTTGGGCTTCCTCTGCTCGTACATGGCGGGGGGGGGGGGGGGGGGGGCACGTTCCACGTGGACTATTTTAAATTCTTGAGGGTAATTTAATTTGGCTTTTAATAATCGCACTGGTCAAGCCTAAGTATCTTTCATTTATTGCTTCACTTATTTTTTGGCGATACTTACACGCCCTTTAGTCGACAACAGTTACATATTCAAAGGTTTCTAAAACTTGTACTTAAATACCATCAAGTTCGGATAACAGAGGTTGTTTAATTAAGTGCAAGTTTATAAGGTTTAGGATGCGTACGTGCTGCCAAAACAGATGAGGGTATATAAAATATGTAAGCTTTGAAAACTTTAGGATATGTAAACGCTGTCACATAAAATATGTAAGCTTTGAAAACTTTAGGATATGTAAACGCTGTCACAGACAAGTGAGAATATACAAGTACAAGGCGAACTGAAGGGGATTTGAGTACAGTTGATCTGGGTAACTTTAATACCACAGCTGGACGTAGAAAATACAATTGCATTAGGAAGAAAGCATTTTCTTTATTTCTTTTCTGAAGAAAAATAAAATAATAAAATAAATTTTTTTTATTGGTCCTATTTTATTTCGCTTTTTTAATAATAGTAATTGGGAATGAATGTAATGAAAACAAAGTTATACGAAATCCTATTGTGCACGCATCCTGTTATAGCTCGGCTAATTTATTTTCTCCCTGGCAATTTAAACGGAGGAGGTGTCCAGTGCCCTGAATCAATTGCGTAATCTCATTAGTCCACGCATAATGATTTCTTTTATTTCCTAAAGTCTGGTCAATGCACAGTGAGTGGGCCCGCACATATCCATCACTTCCGTTATTAATCACAAACAGAGTCGGGCCAATTTCATGCTGAAACCCCACCAAAACAACTGATCATCCTAATTAGCAATATCTAGTAAGTAGACTATTTATATCAGGCATCTGCGCATAAAATACACATACAGTCAAAAAATAAATAAATACACACACTTTGGATGCAGAAATTTAACAATTATGCCCATAATTAATTGATACAATAAAACGACTAGGCATAGAATTTTTATTCCGTAATTTTGAGTCTGGTCACAACGCTTATTTCTAGTTTTACAAAATTGAAGTGCATAGATTACAAGAATGATATGGTGTCGATTCCTCAGCTCATGCCCGGTGGCATTCCCAGGCTCTGCGCGAGATTGCTCATCCTCTCTTTCATAGCCTGTGATTAATAGATTTGATACCTAAGTTTTTAAACAAATAATTTATAGAGATTCAAAAAATATAGGGTCTTTTAAGAGAATTTATATCACCTTTACGCTCTTCTGATGAGCATCCTTGTAGGCTTCAGTTACCAGCAATGAGACCTTCTGGAGACAGAAATGCAGAAAATAAGCCTAATACTAATAATGCTTTTCGATCAATTTTTCACGAGAAGAACATGTCTCACGTGCTGAAAACTAATGTTAGCTTTTATCCGTGTTTTACTACTTGCATTTTAAAAAAAAAACTGAAAAGAGGAGAATTTACCTCAGGTCCCAGCTCCATGGCAGCCTCAGTAATTTCAGTGCGTAAGGGTTGTTGGTTTCCAGAAAGTGTAACCTAGCAAAAATGTCAGCAATGTTGAACTGAGAATAGTTCATTTTTCCAATTTACGAAGAAAATGCTCAATAAGTGTAGCCAAATTATCTGATGTTAAGTCTTGCACATATTATTTGAATTCTTCCTCATCAAACATTTTTACTATGTGGTACCACGGTCGTTTCAAAATCAAATTGATGATAAAATCCCAATATTTACTAGGGCAACACTTAACCACTAATGATAAATATGCGTCAGTGTGATTCACATTTAGTAATAATGATCATAGGCTCATAGCAATTGTGGTTAAGCATACCCTGATTAGCTCGCCTTCACAATAACCATCAAACTCAGCTCTGTCAACCCAAAAAAAAAACCAGATTCAATTTTAGGGTTCATGAAAATCGCTGGAAAAAAGGAGGAGAAAGATGTCCTCTAAAATGTACAAGTAGTGCATACGCTTCTAGTTCTTTTTGTACGCGAACCGCTTCAACTTGGACCACATTTTGCGCCTTCTTAACAGTTTCATATAAATTCTGCATATTTCCAAACATACCTGCCTACAATAAAAAAAAGAGAGAACAGATCATAAAATCAGCAAAATTACTTCTGAGGAACTTTCTATATGAGTTTAGTAGTTCAGTTTATGTAACACTGTTGGTCCTTGGAGGGCAATCATTTCCATGAGAGATTATGGTCTTTGAGAGTCGCACATTTTATGGAACTGGGTACACAGGTCAGATGACAGGGTGAAAAGAAACTAGATGTCTTCAGCGTGCACGTTCTGATGGTAGAGTACCTTCATCTATACATTTATATGCAGGAAAAGGAATACTCAAATTTCCAAGAAAACAGCATAATCAGTGCCTGCTTGGATACTATCAATTGTAATTTGGTACCGAGCTTAAAACACACACACAAACACATGCGCCGCAAAACACATACACAAACTCGCGCGCGCATGCGTGCATCCCTGATCGAGGAATGAATAGCCATAAAATTACAGATGTCAGAAAGTACTTAAAACAAATAATTGTGTGCGACACAAAATGACAGATAAATTAAACAGGAATGAATAGAGAAAAGGCTTTCCTTCTTACCTTTGATGGTGTCTCATCACTGTTCTCACTCTGGTCCTTCTTTCCTCCAAATAGATTAAATACGCAAAGAGGCTTCCTCATTAGAGTTTTTCTGTTATAAGACCATAATAGCAATGGTGTGGCTTTCAGTTGGCCTGAATGAGCGAGCATCAGATGTATCAGATGTAATCATGGTTATACAGATAATATATTAAGAATGAAAAGTTAAAGTAGTTTTATGAACAATTTGTTGCCATAAACAATACAAACAATAATTTTACCTATGAAACACAATATTCTGTAACCTGATTTGTATATTTATCTTATGATTCTTCATCGGCAGATACCGATGTTATTGTCACTGTAAATTTAAACACCCAGATGCATCTACATACACATACACAGATACGTGCAGAATTAGCATGCTTGCATACTCGCTCACATGCAATGAAAAGTTATAAAGTAGTTTTATGATTTACAAACAATTTATTGCCATAAACAATATAACCAATAACTTTACCTATCAAACACAATATTCTGTAACCTGATTTGTATATTTATCTTATGATTCTTCATCAGCAGATACCGATGTTATTGTCACTGTAAATTTAAACACCCAGATGCATCTACATACACATACACAGGTACGTGCAGAATTAGCATGCTTGCATACTCGCTCACATGCAACAAATAAAGAACATACTTATGCATAAGAGGATCACCAACCTGGATATGAACTGGAAAAATAAAGGTGAATGACTCTGCAAATCCAATGAAATAAACTCTAAATTGTTCCAGGTACGGAGACAAGTTTATTAAGCTGCCTAAGTAAAGAAAGTACGCCTATGAACCCCTAGAAAACTCCATAATGGTTCATGTTTTTAAGTGATGGAGG